CTCGACGCCGTGCTGAAGGGTCTGCCTCCAGGGCCAGCTTCCGCCTGCGAAGCCGCTTTCTGGTGGGTGTGAAGTCTGGCTCGGTGGGAGACGCAGGGACTGGCTGCAGTCACGGATAGGCCGCCGGGGACCCCCAGATTCGTGATCCAGAGGGGCGGCTGCCGGGGAGCGGCGGCTGGGAACGCCCTCGTGGCTGCTGGGGGCCCGAGAAGCCTCTGGACAAGGCTGGTCCTCGTTGGCCTGCACTGCAGTGTGCCCGCCCCCAGGCTTGGGGGCCACACCTGGGCTTGCCAGCTTGCCCTGTCAGCCTGGCTCAGGGGCCGCCTCTCACCCGCGTGGAAGGTGGCATTCAGCCCCTGGCGTTACTGTCTTTAGGGGAAGGCGCCGGACAATCGCAGTTGCAGCTTGGAGTTTATTTGCTTTCTGAAAGCAGCTTTATTGCTGGGGAATGTGCGTGCTGCAGATGCCCCGTAGCGTAGATTTAAGCAGCAGAAGCCTCAGGACGGCTCTTCCGAAGGCCTGTCCTTAGCAGTGGTGTCCGGGAAGGCGAGTGGGCAGGCCTGGCACCCCGTCCCTCCGTCCAGCGTGACCGGCTCCCCTGCCAGCCTCTTCGCCTCCAGTCCCACGTGCTGTGGGATCAGTGCTGCGTCAGGGAGGGGCTGGTGTGGCAGAGGAGATGGTCAGCCGGGGGCCCCGAAGACCCCTGAAGCTGGGAAGCCCTGGGAGCTCTGAGGGGAGGGAGGCCCAGTCTGCATCCTGTGGTAAAGGTCCTGGCTGTTGGGAGGACGGTGGGGCCTGGCAGGGCTGGGTGGTGGTGGGGAGTCCGCTGCAGCGTCTTGGGCCACAGTGGACCGGTGGGGCCTCACGGGGGCGTGGGGTTGGATTCCGGGCGTTTGTAGAAGGTGGAGAGCGGAGTTTCCTAACGTGCAGGTAGAGGCGGGTGTGTGAGAAAGAGGGGTCTCCGGGGTGTGGTGGGCGGGCTGGAGACTGGCGCTTCCGGCAGCATGGGCAAGCCCTTGGAGGCCAGCGTGCATGTCGGGTCAGGAATGGCTGGCTGGACGTCCATCTGGAGTTGTCGTGTGAGGTCCGAGGGTTCGGGCTGGTGACGGGAGACCGGAGCCCACGCTCAGTGGGGCGGGAGGGCAGGGTCTCACAGCCGGGGACGGCGCCTGGGAAGGCGGTGAGCAGGCAGCAGACCCTGCGGCACGGCCATGTGTCTCCTAGGGCCACAGTCACTGCCTGGTGGTTTGGTTGGCGTCTCTCCTGGTCGAGAAACTGCATGTGGGGGCTGCACTGGTGAGAAGCGAGGTCCCCTCCTGCGCACGTGCTTGGGAGACTTCTGCATACATGGGACTCCTTTAAGTTGTGACCAGGCTCCTGGAAGTATTATGCTGAGCCTGGAAAAGGGGTTGCGTGTGAAAGTGTAATTGGGAAGTGAATTTCTAGTGGTTGGGGGCCCTTGTACCTACGGCTGTGTACAGGTTAAAGTTCTTGAATGTTAAATAGACTTTTACGTAAGTGGGTTAGCACTGGGTTCAGCCGATGCACTCTTTCTTTTTAGTTTTAACTTCAGGGAGTCCATGTGCAGGCTCGTTCCCTGGACGTGATACCAAGTGATCTCTTATGGGAGTCCAGGATCGTTTCAGACAGCAGTGGGCTGTTGGTGGAGATGTGGACTTGAGGAGCTTGAACTTCCTGCCTTGGGGCACCGTAGAGTCTGCCTGGGAGAAGAGTGAGGCCCCGATGGACCCGAGTGTTTGCGGCGGCAAGGCGACCCCGCGCTGGCCAGGTTGCACTGTATCGGACTTGGTGTCACAGTTTGGGCAGTGTTTGACTTTGACAGCAGCGCACAACTGGCTCTCCCTCACCGACACCACAGCCGCGTTCACCAGGGTCAGGATTTCTTGCAGGGACGTCCCCTTGTGAAAGGAGCATGCTGTGGCTTGGCTCCACCCACAGCAGAAGGGCGCTGGCACCCCCACTGTCCTACAGGGAATTTTATGTTAAAACCTGCTCTTGGACCGGCATGGTGGCGCAAGCCTGTCATCCCAGCACTTTGGGAGGCCGAGGTGAGAGGACTGCCTGAGCCCAGGGGTTCGAGACCAGCCTGGGCAACTTGGCAAGACCTCATCTCTACAGTAAATCAAAAAATTAGCCAGGTGTAGTAGCGCACACCTGTAGTGTCAGCTACTTGGCAGACTGAGGCGGAAGGATTCCCTGAGCCCAGTGGGTTGATGCTGGAGTAGCCATGAGCATGCTCCTGCACTCTAGCCTGGGTGATGGAGTGAGACTCCAACTCAAAAAAAAAAAAAAGAAAGAAAACCTGCTCTTGGCTACTTTTTACTGTTATGAAACTGGATTCTTTTGGAGAAACATGTGTGAGTATACCATAGTTAGGATTTCACCATCTTTCTTAGCTCTTTGTGAACAGAAACTCCTTTTCTTATTTCTGTGCACAAGTGCTCAGTGAACAGCAGACAGATTCTTGTTTCTGTCTGTGTGGTTTCCAGCACCCCAGAAGGCCCCCTTCAAGTCCGTGCAGGCAACACGGACCCCAGAGGTGACTCTTCTCTGTCCCGTGTTTTTGTTTTCTTGCCTGACCTTGAACTCCCAGCCACTGGACTCATTCTGAAGATACTGTTTCCAGTCGGGCAGAGGCGCCTTACAACCGTTGTGAGTGTGCTGTGTGAGGTCGGTGCGAGCCATCTGGAGCACATTCTTGGGAATGAGTTCTGAAACCAGGGCCTGCCTGATGAGAACACTCACCGTGGTCCCTGCAGGTGGGCGTGTCTTGTTTAGCCGAGACACCGGAAGCAGTCAGGACGCTTAGAGCAAAACTGGCCTGGAATCCAAGAAGGCCCAGCAGTACGCTTGTTTCTGGGCTGCATAGCTGATTCCACCTGACATCTCTCATCTCTTGTCATGAGAGGGGACAGCCCGCATGCCTGGTGCAGGTGGCCTCAGTGGTCAGTTCAGCGGGTCCTTCCTGCCTCTAATGTGCCGGCCACTGAGCGCTCTGGGTTTTAGCCAGGGAGGTTCTGATGGCACCAGGCACAGCGGCGTTTTGTTCCAGAGTTTGAGCACAGCAAGGCACTGTCCGAGGGCTCGAGGGGTTGGTGGGGCGGCGTATAGAAGGTTTGGTCCAGCACGTTTGGTCTTCATGAAGGTTTCTGTTACACTGTGTTTCCAAGTTGGACTGAGAATGTTGAAAGAACCCCAGGGTATGGCGGGCATTGAGAGGATCATGGAAAGCCTTGCCCGCGCCTGCTGTTGACTGAGGGCGTGGCAATCCACATGCTGTCGCTTCATGTGGGGATAGGAGTGACAGTCGGGAATCGTGTGGCTGAAGGAGGCCATGCCGGTGGGGGCATCCGCAGAGCAGACCCCATAGGTCCAGGCCCTGCGCTGTGCTGAGACGTCTCTCTTGTTGCCACTCAGCCCTGGCCTGCTGGGCGAGGCCAGTCACTAGGTTGCACAGCCCTAGGACGGGGCCCAACGGCTGGGTCTGGGCTGTGTGGCACCTGTCTCTCACTGCTGTGGCCACAGCCTTCCTGCCGCTGCTCTGCCTGTGGATGGCATCTTGCTTGTACTAGCACGCAGGTGACCTGACTGGGGATAAGGCGTGCTTAGAGCTAGCCCCAGCTGTAGGCTGCATGGAAGGGGCCATGGCAGGTGCTGCAAGGGGACCGCCTTTGGGGACTCAGGCAGGTGCCAGATGCCATGCTGAGGTGCATTGCAGGGCTTCCCAGGGAGGACTCCAGGGGAGCCGTCTGTTCTGGCCCCAAGTGAGGAGGCACTCTGCCTGGGGCCAGTACGTAGCTCATGTCACCCTAGCTGGGCATTGAGGTCTTGGGCTGAGCTCGACCCAGCCGCACATGGGACAGGGGGTCAAGGCCCCATCTCCCCTCTTTCCCCTGACAGCCAGTGGGAGGAGGAGGCAGAAGGCTGTGGAGGCTTGGTGCTGCTTGTCCCTCTCCGCTTCCTGTGGAGGACTGTGGCCTCCTGAAACACTGGCGGGTGTGTTGGGCGGGCCTGGAGCTGTGGGCCTTGGGGTGAGCTGGGTGTCCTGCTTCTCTTCTCTGCCCGCTCTGCCCTCTCTGCCTCCTCATTCCCACCCTCTGTCCTCAGCATCGGCCCCCACCCTGGCCCCAGCTGCCCTCTCCTCGGGCTCCTGCGTGCGTGCGAGGCTCCGAGCCTGCCAGAGGGCAGGGAGGAAGCCTCCGGGCAAGGAGGGCGCGCGGAGTGGGAAGGGGGGATGCAGTGTGGGTGCTGCTCAGAAGAGGCAGGAAGGGTGGGCACTGGGCACCGGCTGGCCGGGGCCATTGGGTGGTATGCCTTGGTGGGGACTGACCAGGCCCAGTGGGAGGCAGATGCCAGGCGGGGCTGGCATGGGGCAGGGGGCATCCGAGGGCCGTGTGCTCGGTCTGAGCGAGTGGGAAACTGGTGAGGGCAAGCGGGAGCAGGGCAGCCAGTGCCTGGCAGGCTGCACTCCTGGCCCAGGACTGCTCTTCTGCTGTGACCGTCTCCTGGCGCCGTCTACACTAAGTGCCGGCAGGCGGGCGTTTCCTGCGCAGCTGACTTGTTGAGACATATCTGAGTACCATCCACAGTTCTAAACATGCGTGTTTCAGGAGCCTCGTGGGGGACTGACAGGCACGGAGGGCCAGGGAGTGCTGACCACTAGCTCTAGCAGAAGGGTGGCCGTTCCTGGAGCTGGGAGCGTGCCAGCAGGAAGCCAACGGGTCTGCACTCCTCGGAACTGTGGGTTGGCCTGTGGGCACTGACTGTGTGGCCGTCACTCTCATCAAACCTTGGTTTCTGTGTCAGTGTCAGTGGACTGGACTGGCTTGTCTCCGGGGTGCCCCAGGCTCTGGAGTTCTGCTTCTCAGAGTCCCACCTGTAGGTTGGCTGCCACTGCGTTTGCTGTGCCCCTGGCTTTCTCTCCAGGGGTCTCTTCTGGAGTTGGGGCGTGAAGTGCTCTGTGCTCCTCTCTAGGGCTCTGCAGTCAGCGGGGTCACAGCTCCCATGGCTGCAGCTAGTGTGACGCCCCCGGGCTCCCTGGACTTGCTGCAGCCCGGCTTCTCCAAGACCCTTCTGGGGACCAAGCTGGAAGCCAAGTACCTGTGCTCCGCCTGCAGGAACGTGCTGCGGAGGCCTTTCCAGGCCCAGTGCGGCCATCGCTACTGCTCCTTCTGCCTGACCAGCATCCTCAGGTATGTGGCCAGCACACCTTGAAGGCAGATGTTGGGCAGTGCTGGCCTTAAGGCCTGCTGCCCCACGTGAGGTGTACTTCAGGTGTAGTACTTCCTGGATCTTGGATGCTTTGCGTGGAGTGTAAGCACATAAAGGGCGTGATCTGAAACACTAACTGGAAATACTGTCTTGGACATAAGGCTTAAGTACAGTGTATCCCTAGAGTTATTCCCCCGGGTGTTTTCATCACTTTGATGTGCATACTAGAAGTTTACAAGAAGACTTGCAGCTCACCCCAAGGCTGGGTAGAGAGTTGAGGCACAGTGTGTTCCCATGCATGTCTGGTTGGTGAGAACCCACCTCAGACTGGAAGGTGCGAGCTCCATGCACATCAGCAGTGGGCAGTCCTGCAGGGTGGACGTGCCAGCGCCTATGTCTCTGGAGTGTGTGTCCTGGGTGGTGCACTTTCCAGGGGTTCAAACCCCGGATTCCCTGTCAGGATTCGAATCTTCGAAAAATTGCACAGCTAACACGTGCTTGTTGATTCCATCAAATGTGGAAGGTTTGTAGTGACTGTAGTGTAGACTTGCGTTTTGGACGGAGGTAGACGGCGTCCATTTATTCATAGTGGAATTTTTTATCCCCTTTTCCCCACTAGCTCTGGACCACAGAATTGTGCTGCTTGTGTTCAGGAGGGCATATATGAAGAAGGCGTTTCTATTTTAGAAAGCAGCTCGGTAAGTAAAGTGTCTGGAAGTTAAAAATGTCAAAATGAACAGAAATGTTTTGGGATTTCTGTCAACAACATCGATGGCAGACAGCGGTGTTGGGAAGCCAGATGTCACCCCTGGCAGACAGCGGCGTGGAGGGTTTGGAAGGGTTGGGGTTGAGGCTGGGTCGGCCCCCAGAGTCATCTGGTGCCAGAGTGGCCCAGGAAGGCTTGTGACATTGGCTTGACTACGTGGCCCCATGCCTCGATGGTGCTGTGTAAGGGCAGGCTGGCAGGAGGAGGCCTGACCCAGGGATGTTCCTCTCCTCAGGCCTTCGCGGATAACGCTGCCCGCAGGGAGGTGGAGAGCCTGCCGGCCGTCTGTCCCAGCGACGGCTGTACCTGGAAGGGGACCCTGAAGGAATACGAGGTAGATGGGCCTTTCCCTGGGGCCTTTGCGTGGTGTGGGGACTGAAACCCAGTGCTGGCCTTCCGTGCGCCAAAGCATCACACCCTCAGCCTGCATGGTCCCCTTGCTGGGGCAGAGCTCATCCTGGGTCTGTGGCGGAAGAGCTGCGGCTCTTCCTAGGGACATATTTGCAGGGCACAGACCTGTGTGCAGAGCCTGGGTCGTGTGGCCTCGGAAGCTGCTTGCTTCTCTGGGCCTCCGTTGCCTTGTCTGTCAGTGGGGGCGCAGTACCACTGCCACTGTGGAGTAGCGATGAGCATGGGAGGCACCTGTTAGCCCAACAGTGCCGTGGCTGTCGAGACAGCACGTTCCTGGGTATGGCAAGAGATCCGTCTGCACCAGGGACTGCACTATCCAGCTTGGTGGGGTTTTCTTGTGTCCACAAGGGATTTCATATTGTGACTTGTGCTGCTCTGGAAATGGCACAAGTAGTGGGTGCTCATTCTGTGGCCACAGAAGGGCTTCTGGCCAGTGACGGGCAATGGCCGCTCTGACCTTGGTCTCTGCAGCGAAGCAGCTTGTGATCCCATGTCATGTAATGGGGACTCGTGTGGCTCTCATGTCACCCTTGGGGGGCGTTTTGCAGTGAAGCCCGCAGCGTGGGACCAGGAGGTGCCGAGGGTGTCCAGGCTGCAGCTGTGCGCCGGGCTGTGCATCTCCTCCTGGTCTTGGCGAGGGCTGTCAAGTAAGGCTGTCCCCCGGGTGCCTGCACAGGGCTCTTCATGATGTCTGTCGATGGTGAGTGGGTGGATAAAACGGGGTCAAGCCACCCTGCCTGAGAGAGGAAGGGGATTCTCTCACACCACAACAGGGGTGGACCATGAGGACGTGATGCTTGGTGGGACAGCCAGATGCACAGGGACAGAGCCTGTGGGGTCCATTCTCTCCAGGGCCCTAGCATCATCAGATCTGTGGCGACATGGAGGGGGCCAGGGAGGGGCGGGCCGCTGCTGGGGGTGGAGAGGAATCGGTTGGACTCCCCAGAGGGAGACCTGGGTACTGTCTGCTCTAGCCTGGGACTCTGAGTGGAGCCGTGTGGGGCTGTGTGCCAGGACCTGGGGGTGCGAGAGCGTGGGGCCGAGTGGGGCCCGGGGAGGAGGGGCTGCAGAGCCGTGTGCTGGGACCCTAGGGATGAGGGCAGGCGTGGGGCAGTGTGCCAAGACCCTGGCTCTCCTGTCCTGAGCGCAGGAGCCTCCTACCCTGGGCTGCTGGGCCCAAGGCCATGTGCGGCCTTACCCCCAGGAAGGGCACTGGGGGTCTCCCACTGGGCTGGACCCTGCTGGGCTAGGAGTTGGAATCCTCTTCCTGGCCACACTTCCTCGTTCTCCCCACTGACACTGCTTCGTAGTCTCTGGACTCTGCGTTTTGTTCTTCCAGAAGGGTAGCTCTGGCTGAGCTGGGTGGATGGGGAGGCGTGCTTGGGCCTGGCAACACAGCCCCTGCCCTTCTTTCTGCCTCTGTGGGCAGAGCTGCCCGCCAGCCCCAGGCTGCAGGGTGCGGTGCACAACCCTCTGGGCTCCTAAGCGTGTGTGGCTGTGGTGGGTGATGTCAGACACCGTGAGCCCTGCCCGGCCAGACTCAGTCACTGCCCAGGCTGTCTGTGAGGGAACTGGCTCTCTGAGGAGGGGACTTGGGCTCTCCTGGGTGGGAGTGGGGGCAGTGTCCACCCTGCCACCCTTTAAGGGGACCAAGCGGCCCCTGGGAGACAAGTGAGATAACAGCCCCCAGCTCTACACTGGCTCGAGTCCTCCGGGGTCTCTGCCACCTCTAGTCTGCAAGGTCGGCAGCTGTGTGGGCCTCCAACTGAGGACCTGGGCCTGCAGCCAGCCATGGGCTCGGGCGCCATGTGGCCCCGCAGGCATGCAGACTGGAAAGTCCCTGGCTGCGCCCTTTGAGAGCCTCGGAAAGTCCCTGACAGGAGTCGACTTTGGTCACGTGGGAGGGAGGGCGGGCACTGCTTTTCTGGAAGGGCTCGGTTGGCCTTTGATCTTACTGATAAAAACTTCTCGATGGGTCTGGGGTCAGGGTCTCTGTGGAGTCGAGAGCCCCCTGGTGTCCCGAGCCTGCATCTGTCTGCTCTTGGGTTATCGGACTGCTGTATGCCAGGGTGGTCCTGTGGGCACTGGTACTGAGGCTGAGGCTTCTTTCCTTTGTGTTCTGAATCTTTGGAAAAAGGGGTGGACCCTGCTTAGCTTTGCCAGAGTCTTACTTTGTGGTGATGCCTTTCCAATAACTGAATGATTTAAAGCTCAGTTCGGTTGAAACCCATGGTGGGGGGTGCTGCTCAGGGCTCCCAGGGTGGAGCTCTCCGCGGCCTGGGCCCCAACGCCATGGGTACTGAGGGAGGGCCTGGCAGGGACCTGGGGGCTCTTCGGGGAAGCAGGCTGGCCCGCCTGTGCCGGCTTTGCGCACATCGTGGGAAATGCAGACGCCCCCAGCTGTGTTTGCCTGGAAGGTTCACCTTGAACTCTGGCTGAAGGCACATGACTTCCTTGGAGCACACCTGCTTGGGGGTGGGGAGGCTGAGCTGTGTTGTGGTGACAAGGTGGAGTACAAACGCCCCTGTGCTGGCAGCCCTGGGCATCTGGAGGTTTCAAGGACACGTGCTGGGAGCAGGGGCCGAAGTCTCACGCGTGTGGGTGGGCAGTGCCGCCAAGGGCAAAGACTGCAGGGCCCGTGGGGCTGTCTGCCGCCCGCTGAGCTGCCCGGCTACTCCAGACTTCTTCAGCCACCTCCCATGTAGGTTTTCTGGATCATTTTGAAGCAGATGCAGGATATCACGGCATTTCACCCATGTGTACTTTATGACACTTTAAAGAGCAGTGTTTTTGTCTGAGCACCTCACCTATCTATCTGTGCTTTGGCTTCAAACTGTGATGGCTTCTGGGCCCTCTCAGTTCTGTTGGGTCGGTATTTATCACACGCTCAGTGTGCTGAGGCTGGGTCAGTCCCAGATTGTTCAGGGAGTTGGTTCTTGGGGCAGGCACTGTAGGTTCAGGGCCCTGGAGGCCATGAGGGCTGGACATGTGCCCTGTGGGGGACCAGGCCCTGGAGGGGGCATGTGCCTGTGGGGCTGCCTTCAGGGGATGCCTGCCTTGTAGCTACCGGGACTGTAAGTCTGGAGGGAATGAGCCCTGCAGAGGTTGAGTGGAAGCAGCCCCTGTGCCCTCACTGGGGGGCAGCGTCTCCCTCTGGGCACCGCCCTCTCCGAGTCACCTGGATGCTGACCTGCAGCCTATTCTTCGTGGTGCTGCTGACCTCACCGTGCCAGCCTCTCCGGCTCTGTGCCGTTCCGGCCTCTTGGGGCTCTTCCCCAGCTTGGTTTCCTCCTTCCCACCTGGGTCTCCTTTCTTCCATGGTGCCCATGGCATGCAAAATGGGCTGTGGGGTTGCCTGACTCAGGACTTGACACCATGAGATAAGCCCTTGCTCATGAGATAAGCCAGGCATAGACAGACACCACTCAGGTCCACTTAAAGGCCCGGAGTGGTTGGATTTGGAGACAGGAGGGGGCTGGACTGTGGAGGGGTGGGGCGTCTCATGGGGAGTGAGTTTCCCTTTTGGAGGGTGGAATGTTCTGGAGACAGAGAGTAGTGATGGTTTTGTGATGTTTTGAATATACTTAATGCCACTGGGGTGTGCGCTCAAATGTGAGCAAGACGCTCCGTTTCATGTGTATCTCTTCCCGAGTGGGTGGCGACACGGAGTAGGCCTTCCTTGTGCCGCGCCCCTGACGCCCACTCCCTTGCTCTTCCCTTCATGCAGACTCTGCTCAGAAGACGTTTAGTTCTGTTTCTGCCCCACACTGGCTCCCGGCGGAGGCAGGTCAGGGCCCAGGTACTGACCTTGTCCTTTCCAGGGCTTGAGCCAGAGCCGGGGTCATTCTTGGCTTCCCCCTGTCCCCCTGGGCCCAAGCTCGGTTAGCAGCAGGTCCACCTGGGCTCCACCCGCCCTCCATCAGTCACTGCAGCACATGCAGAGCACTGCAGCTTCCCATCCATGCCTCGACGTCCATGTGTGGCGTGGCAGCCAGGCGGGCTTTGGAAGGTGGCAGCCAGGTCTTGTCAGCTGCTATCCTGACCCCTCACCATTGGGCAGAGAGCCCTGGAGGAGGGCTGTGGGGCCCTGCCTGGGCAGCTGTGGCTGGAAGGAGCTGGGGTTGGGCTCTGACCAGGGTGTAGCGAGGGGCCAGCACCGCCTACCATCCCTCCACGCCCTCCCTTCCACCCTGGCTCCGCCCCATGCCCGCAGGCCTCTGCCTCACCGACCCTTCACCTGCAGCACCGGCCGTGCCCTCCCCAGCCCACACCTGAGGTGCCTGTACTGCCTTGGTGGCTGTACCCCAGCTTGTCAGCTCCAGGAGGGCAAGGCTCGGCCCACAGCCAGCTGTGTTGGGGCATGTAGACCCTGCTCTCACAGCCCCTCCCCCATCTGCCTCACAGCCCTCGGCCCTCCCATGCACACCCTGTGCCTGGAGCCAGCCCGCCTGGGTCCTGCCCTTGGTTGTGCCTTGGGCCTTTGTGGGTCATCGGACCGTCCTGGTCCGGCAGACGAGGCCACCCCCATGCGCCCTCTGCCTCTTCACACCATCCACCTGTAACAAGGCCAGGTGGGGCTGGCGGGATCCGCCAGCACACACCACGTCATGCTTTGGTCTTCAGAGCGCGAGTGGGCCCTGTCCTCTCCGGCTGGTGTGTGGTGCCGTCCACCGGGACCCCAGGGACATGTGCTCGGCCATCTCAGGGCTGTGGCGAAGTGTCCCTGTCCTGGGGACTCCTGGCCCTTCCCTCCTGCCCTGTGCCCTGCGGGAGTCCCGAGAGCTGCCTACAGAGGACACCCTCCAGGACAGGCAGGGAGCATGTGACACCCACCGTGCTCTTGTGCTGTGGTGGTGTTGGGGGAAGTATGGCTGCCCAGCATCCTGTGTGCACTGCTGATGCCCTCTCCTTCTGTTGGCAGAGCTGCCATGAAGGCCGCTGCCCGCTCATGCTGACCGAGTGCCCCGCGTGCAAGTCCCTGGTCCGCCTCTGCGAGAAGGAGCGCCACTCAGAGCACGAGTGCCCGGAGCGGAGCCTGAGCTGCCGGCACTGCCGGGCGCCCTGCTGCGGGGCGGATGTGAAGGTGCACAGCCCGTGGCCGGCGGGGGTCAGGGCTGGGGCTGGGCTGGCTCTTCTACGCGTCTCCAAGGCCCAGCCCTTTCCGCAAGGCCATACATAGCATGGATAGCTCTTGGAGGAGCTGCATGGGTGTGGATGTACGAGGACTTCAAGAAGCACCTTTATTCTAGCAAAGTTGAAATACACCCGGGTGGAAGGGGCTGTGGCAGGCACGCGTCCCCCTTGCACGGTGCTTTGGTTATGCCCCTTGCCAGGTGGACTCTGCCCCCAGGCTGTCACTCTAGGCCTCGGTTGTGTCCCCTCACCCAGGCATGGTTGGGAGTGTGTGTACCAGGCGCAGAGCCTTGTGTCACCTGTGCCACACAAGGGCACAGCTGTCCCACTCAGGTCACCTGTGGTGTGTTCCTGTCCCGCTGTCTGTGTCTTCCTTTGAGTTACTTGAGTCACGATTCAACAGTGTTTCCTACGTGGACAGTGTCGGGGTCTCTCAGTCCCTATGGGCATCCTGTTTCCTGGGCTGTGGTCCTCAGGACTCCCGCCTTGCTAATGGCACCCGCAGGTGTCCATAGAGCACCCCTCTGTCCCCACTTCCCTGGAAACTGTGGTGTGTCTGATCCGGCACCCCACAGCAGCACTCCAGAGTCTCTCTTTGAGACATCCCGTGCGAGGCCGGTCCGGTCCTTCTGCCAGCCAGTTCTGCCGGCCTCACTCCTCCTGGCCAGAGCAGCCAACCCCCATCCTCCTGTGGCCGTTGTTTCAGCCAGGGCCTGCAGGATGATGCCCCTCTTACCATCCCTGGGGGCTTTGTCTCCTTGTGCTAGGCTGGAGGCCGCCGCGTGAAGAGGGTTGCAGATTTCTGCAGCTCCAGGGGGTGCCTGCGGGGTCCCACCCAGGGTGGGAGCGGGTGACCTTGAGCGCCCAGGGCCCTGCTCCCTTGCTGCCTGTGCCCGGCATCACATGACACTCTGACCGTTTTTCTTTCAGGCGCACCACGACGTCTGCCCCAAGTTCCCCTTGACCTGTGATGGCTGTGGCAAGAAGAAGATCCCTAGGGAGAAGGTGAGCCATCCCTCATGCCCTCAGATGTGAGGACAGGCCCGTGGGGTGGGGGTCATGACCTTGAGCTCAGAGGGACAGTGGCGCAAGCTCCTGTGGCATCGGGATCGTGGCTGCACATCACACTTGTGACGCCACTGCCCTGTGTTCAGTGACACAGGCCATGCCAGTCCCTGTCCTTCATCCCCAGCACACGCCGCTCCTGCCTTTGAGCAGGCCACCTCCAGCTTGTCCTGATGTTCACCCTCACAGCTGCCAGCACCTCCATGTGTGAGAAGTGCACTGCTGGCCCAGAGCTGTGGAGGCCGCACCTCGCGCTGGTCTGTTGTCATAGCAGCGGCACTCCACTCCACATGCCTCGTTCTGAGGGGCAGCAGCTCCTGCCGCTGTGAGCACTGCTCTGGGGACACCTTCAAGGCAGGACGTAGGGACACACATGGAAGTGTTTTCTAGCTTCTGCCTTGTTGGCGGGAGAGAGCCAGAGGCTCTCCCCACCCCACCCCTGTTGTCCTGCTGAGTGTCCATGTGTGGGCTTGGCCTTCGCTTGAAGCCCACGCCTGCTCTAGAGGCCCCATGTGAGGTCTGGCTCCATCTCGGCGGGGGCAGTGTAGCAGGCTGTGACTTCAGAGGCCGGGATGCCTTCCTGGGACCTGTGTCTGCATGGCTGAGCCTGGTCCTGGTACAGGTGCCATCCCCTGCTGTGTGCAGCTGGAGGTTCCCACGTGGGGCGTCTTCTGCCTCGTACGCTTATCACATTGGCTCCTTGGTGTGTACTGAGAGGCCAGGAGTTGGTTCTTGTGATTTTCTGTTTTCCGAGTGGCAGACAGGTGCCCATGCAGCCCAGTAACATCCAGGGGGCTTTGTCCCCCCATCATTACCAGTGTGCAGCTTTCTGTGAGCTCTGCGTTTTAATACAGATTTTTTTTGTTGTTTTTTTTTGAGTTGGAGTCTCACTCTGTCGCCCAGACTGGAGTGCAGTGGCCGCTCCCAGCCACCGCAGCCTGGACCTGCTGGGATCCGGCGATCCTTCCACCTCAGCCTTCCAAGTAGCCGGAATTACACATGCGCTACCACACCCGGCTGATTTTTTTAATTTATTGTAGAGATGAGGTCTTGCTGCCCAGGCGGGTCTCGAACCCACGGGCTCCCGCAATCCACTCACCTCAGCCTCCCAAAGGTGCGGGATTACAGGCTGAGCCACCGAGCCCGGCCAGATGTTTTTATTTGATTCTCTCAGAGCCTTTCTACAGCCAAGGGGCCTTGCAGACACCAGGGTGTTTGGCGTGGCCTATGTTGGCACCCCTGGCCTCTCTGGACAGCCTCTTCCCAGTCCTGCGTGCCTTCCCCTTTGTGGAAGGTGACTTAGAGCCTGGGGGCTTGTTGTTGTGTATACTGGGGCAGCCTATGCTCTGGGGCCTTTTCAGAGGAGGAGTTGGGTGCTTCTGACTTATGTGGAACATTGCAGGGATTTCTCTTTCTAATTTATACTTGTGTCCCCTCTGTGGGAGCCTTGTCCTAGCAGCGCTGACATAGTGACTTCCTTGCTTGCAGTAGGGTTTATGCAAATAGCAGCATGACTTGTGACACTCCACTGATGCCCACTGAGTCAGGGTCAGGGTCTCTTGGATGTTCTTTGTCCTTGGAAGCGTGTCTTATGGAGGTGATGTTTGAGGGCCAGCTGGGATACGCTGTTCTTTGTGTTTCCTCAGACTTGGTTCACAGTCCATTTGCTTTCCATTCTTTTTAAAAATATGCTTTTGCTCTTTGATGATTTGACACACTTGCCCATGTGGCACGTCGGGGCTGTGCCACCCACCTGGGATGGTCTCCCTGCTGGTCCCATTTTGGCCTCCCTCCCCTCCCCCTCCACGTGTGTGGGTTGTGCTGGAGCGTTTCTCCCTGGCCTTGGTATGCTGGGGACCATGAGCGGGCTCCTCACCACCACATCCTTGGACACAGCAGGACTGAGCTGAGTGTGAGCCTTACGCGTTGGGAGCTGGGCTTTTGGACGCTGGCCTGGGGACCTGGGAGGAGTGGGCCTTGGCATGTGGGCCTGGGTCTCCTGGTGCAGCAGCCCAGAAGCTGGTGGGCCACCCTGCCCTCGTTTTGTGATGAGGTATCCACCTGTTCATGACAGTGCTGATAGCAGCTGCAGGCAGTGTTCCTGAGTGTTTGCCGGGGCCCCAGGGTTTTCCTCCAGCCCTCACAGGAGCCCCTGTGAGGGGCCCTGGGGCCATGTCTTAGATGAAGAACAGCCTCGAGGAGGTCAGGTGCCCACCTGACCCAGCTCCCTGGCCCTGCCATGTGTGGTGCGGTGGGCCTTGATGCCCCTCGTTTTCCAGCGGCGCCTCCTCCCCACACCTGCTCTGCCCCAGCGCTCATGCCCGTGCCGGCATGCTGCAGAGACATCCCAGTTCCTGGCCTCCTCCAGCCTAGCTTTCCATGATGGGAGCTCCTGAGCCTGGACAAAGCTAGGGGGAAAGAGGTGGGGGGGAGAGAGTCACATGAATAGGCAGAGAGAGGAGGGGGAGAGAGACGCCTACAAGGAGGGGGGAAGGAGGGGGGGAGAGATGCACACAAGCGGGGGAGACAGACCTGGAGAGGAAAGAGGAAAGGGAGGGAGGGAGAGACATGCACACAAGAGCAGGGGAGAGAGACACAGGAGAGGAAGTGACAGAGGCGGGAGAGGGACACGGGGAGGGGGAGAGGGAGAGTGTGCGGCCTCCTGAGGGCCAGCTGGGGCCTGGCCTGGCCTTGGTCCAGCCCGCCTGCATTCCCCCCACTGTGCACCGCTTCGTCCAGAATTCTCCCGTGGCAGCACAGGGACCTTCGCTTTATCTTCAGAGAAAACACTGTGGATTCACGCCGTGTTGTCATGTCAGATTCTTTTTTTTTTTGAGTTGGTGTCTCACTCTGTCACCCAGACTGGAGTGCAGTGGCCGCTGCTG